GTCAGCTTTGGTCACATCGAACGAGAACGTTCTAGCCTTTATGTTTCCATTTTTCATGGGCTCATCTTTGCCCTATGGTCTAGGCTTAGCCATTATAGGACAAGTATACGTGTCTCCTTTGACCAATTCAACCAAACACATCTCGGCTTGATCGTATGACTGGTCGCTGATGGTATGAACGTCAAAATTTGGGTCTTTGTAATAAGTCCCTTTACTAGAATTTTTCATCTGCTCTTCTTCTCTTATCAGTCGTTCATATCCAATCACGTTCGCACTCAACTGGAAAAGGTCAGGAAATTCCTTGTCTTGGAATTTCTTTTTTAAATCAAAGCTCAAACAACCCTAAGCGATTTTGACAAATTCTTTTTCGGGCAGAGGTACAAAACACTTGCTTTTTGCTGTCTTGAATCTTTGGAGAAAACTTTCTGCCCATTCGTTTGGCATTTGACGTAGATTCGCCAAATCAGCCACAGTAACTTCAGACTCAGTTTTATAAAACTGAGCGTGGAATAATTATTCCAATTGTTGCCATGTTTGAACAGAGTTCGCTGGCAAGTTTATGAACCAGGAGAAAGCTATTCCTGTTAATGAACTAGGGAAAAGCCTCATTTTATGGTAATCAGTTACATCACCACTTTGCAATGTGAATCGCCCTATGTGCTCTAGAGTAAACACCTCCCCTAAACCGGTAAATAGTGAGAATTCTGGCACTTTATACCCTCTAGGCCATGGATATGCTTGGTCTACCCAATCAGGATATGGCTTTGTGTAAGTCGGCCTAATGACAGGACGCACCCCAAAAGCCATCTGATCCTGTACGATTTCCATAATCTGATTCCTCAACATGACGTTAAGGTCATATGGAATTCCTACAGGTTGGTTAACCGGTTGATTTGAATGAGGCCTGACGTTTGGTCCTTGATTGGCAACAAAGTTACCATGATTTAGGCCATTACCATTAGCCTGAACATCTATTCCCTCATTAACACGTAGGGTATTCTGTTCATTGTTTAGGACATTATCTCTTACATTTAAATTACCCCCAAGTTAGGCGTACCACTACTGTTGTTCTGATTTGGCACTGCACCACCCCCTTGGTTTGAAGTAGAGGGACCAGAAAGTGGTTCTATCCCTTGATTCGGATTTAAGACTGAGGGATTATGTACTACAATTGTCCTACTTTGAAAGTGGTTTGCAGCAGGCAGAACCGGTTGACATATTTGGCCTACTAACTTATTCATTATTTCGTTCAAAGTGTTTAGTTGTTTGGCCATGTTGTCATAATGTGTATTCCCATTTTAGGTAAATCTTTCCATATTATGAATATTTCGAAGATTTACCTGTTCAACGATATCTTGTGTGAGTTCTCCAAGTAGTGCACGCATAGTTCGAGGACTCAACTCTGTCATTGGTTCGTAACGACTGTTACTGCTTTGATTCTGTCCATCTGTTCGTGGAGAGGCATGCTGCTCCTCATATCGCTCGATCACAGACTGGACTCCTCCCTGACTTGCTGCTTCCTTATCGGATCTCTGAAGCATATTGTTTCACCTTTTGTATTTTCAATATCAAACACCACTGTTCCACTGGGCGTGCCAAATTGTTTCGCGTGCGTTAGTCGCTAACAATTAAAAAGAGATCAGACGATTGTGTAAGGAACAAACCTCTTGAGATAAAGTCCTAAAAAAGGGGCGTTTTTTATTGGCGATGACTTTACAATTGGGGAGTAAAAACAGAATGCCTCCAAGGGGCGCAAGCACACGAGTTACTATAAAAGAAGTGTTTAAATCTAAACTAAGGAATTGAAAGTTACATATTCTCTGTTTGAGAGTGTTTGATTCGGGATCTTTTGCTCTATGTCTTTTCTTTCTTTTATACTCCCTGGATGGTCTCTTTGTGATCAACCGCCTAAAAACTGTTTGATCGTTCTATAACTGCCCACTTTCCTCGTCATGGCCAACTTGTCATGGAACTGCCTTTTCTAACTGCTTCCATTACTCTTTGTCGTTCAACCGTCTTCAATTGAATTCCTTGAATCGTGGAACGTGATAGGGCTGCTTAATAACTGCTTTGATAACTGCGCTTCTTGATAACCATAACACTTCATGTTTGCTAAGACCTTGGGCGACTCGAAAGTTTGGGCGAGAATAGAGTAGCAGCTCTGGGCGACTGCATGGCACTCCATTCGCTCAGATCCTGGGCGGCTGCATAGCACTCCATTCGCTCAGATCTTGGGCGACTTGCAAGCTTGGGCGATGGTGTTACCGCGTTCATGGGCCTTCATCCTGAATTATTTGATTGAGCTTCGTTCTTTGGGCTATCTGATTTGGGAATCCTCCAAATGAATTTCATTACTTAGGCCGTCCGATTTGGACTGAATTTTTATGTGTCAACATAGACATATACGTCTAATGCAACAAAAACAAAGGGAAATGTAACTACTGGTCAATGGAGAGAAATTTTTGAAAGTTGAGTGATGATTGAGAAGACTTCCGGGGTACAATATAAAATACAATAATTTTTAAAATAATCAACTTAGTATTTGGCAGTGCTTCAAATTACCTTTTAACATTTATATATAATTACCTTCCTCCAAAGAAATCTTTTGTAGAAAATTAATAAAATACAGAAGGGTCAAAAGAAAATAAAATGCACATAAATCTGAAAGTAAAATAATTATTGTAAACGAGCTCTTCATGTTAATTTATTTCTTCATGATAATAATAGAGCAACAATTGAATTTAAAATGTGTCTTTTGACGAGTATGGGCCTGTTTGGGAGGAATTTTTTCTTTCAAAAAATTGATTTTTTGACTGTTATTTTACTATTTCAGTCGTCATATTTGACTTCTTCTCTCACAGGTGGACCCCACTTTCCTCCTAACCGTCAAAAAATCAATTCTCAAAATCACTCTCAAGCAGGTTCAATCTTTTACAACGTTTCTTCATCGGTTATTAAACTTTAAAACGTTTTTCACAAGCTATTGAATTTATCAAATTGTTAAAACATCCGTCATTAAAAAATAGATGGAATGGATAGCATGAAAACATATATTCATACAGAGACGGATACACGGGGGCTGGGTTGGGTTGTAGCCCCCCACCCTAGGTCCAAGAATTTTTTTTAAGGTATTTTTTATTTTTTTGGGTAAAAAATCAGTTTTTTATGTGTAAAAAAATTTTTTCCACGTAGTAGCTCGATTTGAAATTTTGTAGCCCGATCGTGGATCCAATCCTGAATCCGTCCCTGTATTCATACGTGTCAACTTTGTAGGATCATTTACGCTAAGTTACTGAAGTTCAATGGCGTTGACAAGTGAAAATATTGTGGAAAGTACATTGGTCAATGAGAAAAATTATGCAAAGCCCAAAATGAGATACTTATTTAATACAGTATATATCCTCTCTACTATTTTATTCTTATGAAAATTAAACTTCGTCCATCTTGAATTAATAAATAAACTAAACTACAAATAAAGGATGAAACAAGCATGTTATCCTAAATCTTAAAAATAACTTAAAGTAAGCTTTTAGTTATGAACATGTTTAGCTCCCGTTTGGTCCCCGTTTTGTAGAGTTAAAAATGGGTGGAATAATATTTTTTTTTTTAAAATGAGAAGTTAAAAAGAAAGAAAAAGTTTTCGATTCACATATAATATTATTTTATGAAAAATTGTGTGGTAGAAAATACGTGGGAGAAAAATGTAATTGAAATTAATGGGACGAAACGGAGGCTTATAGTTTACTTCCGTCAACATAGTAACATAAATTGTGGGTGACGCACTGGTGGGAAGAGAGCAGAGGTGCATGAACGTACCTTCAGAAGGATCAGTGGTGGCATTTCTTCGGGTTTGAGCTTGAGCCCGAGGCACCTCTACCAGAGACATGGTCAAAAAAAGGCATAAGCCTAGCAGCAAATCTAGTTGCCGCCTTGGCGCCACCTTCGCGAGTTTCATCTCTGTCGGTATGGACCAGAAGCATGCGAATTTCAGAGGTAAATTCTGTACTGATATATCAAGAAGTGATCGTCTATTCTTTGGCTATATCTCTCAATTTTTCTTGGTTGACAGCTAATCGTATACTTGTCATCAACTGCAATTAACGCGTTTGGTCCCGCTTTAGAACAGATAAAAATCAATTTCTGGGACCGATGCCTTGTCTTTAACCATTTGAAAATTTTAAAGTACTGGCTCTTGTCAGACTTTTCACGTGCACATGTTAGGGAGTTTTTCTCATTTTTGCCCTTCAATTGATTAGCACATTGCAAAAATGAAGGCATGTGAGGGCAAAATGGACAAATACACATAATACTTTGTATTGAATGATCAAGTGGGCCCGGTGAGTTGACAGGAAAAGCAATCCTCCATTTTGCAAGTAGCACCCAGACAGTATATTAATTTGCTCAATTATTATTGACCAAAAAAATTGTTCAAGTTTTTATTTAAAGTCCGTTTGAGCCACATTACAATACGAATGAGAATGAGAAATAGAGTCGTTATGGATCCCACACTAGAGATAGAAATTCAAAAATGATGACTTGATATGATAGATAACGATCATATTTTTCATTTTAATGAGGTAAAAATAGGGCTCAATCAGGGACTTAATTTATAAAAACTTAAATATGTGATGAGATTATAGCATGTTACCAGCTTAAGTTTATATTTTGACTTAAAATGATATTTATAGAGTTATGAGAATGTCTCACTTTTTGTCTATAATGGTATGAGGCTATTATGTGAGGTATTTAATGATATGATCTTGACGTTTGATTAAAAATGTTTAAAGGAGAAGTATGATTATTTTTGAAGTCTTCTGACCTATCAATTCATATTTTTTTAACCCTACAAAATCAGCATTATCCTTACGTGGCACATGATCATTGGTTTCTCAGATATTCCTTAGAAGGTTTAAGCTGTTTACAAAGATTAATGATTTGTCCCCCACCCCACACCACACCACACCACCCCACCCCAACCTTTGTTCAACCCCCTTCATCTTCTCTATCACCCATCACTCGTCAGAGACCACGTTCAATTGCTCAGGCCCACAAGATTACAAATTTGAGAAACCAACGGATCATGTTAATTCATCACCCCTCCCAATCTTAAAAAAATATCCTACATTTTGGCAAGTTGCTCTAATGCTCCAGACAACCCCAACGACACCGAACAAGGGGGAAGAAGAGAAGGCTCAGTTTTAAGTTTTACTAGATTTTGACTTTTTCTGGGTCAAGTCCGAACTCGGTAAATGGAGTTCCCGTTGGTGTCGCGGGCTCTTAATCCCCCAGTAACTTGGTTTTGTAATTATGAGTTGCCGGTGAGAATAATAGAGATGAAAAAGAAGAAGGGAGTTTTGACAAATAATGGGGTGGTGAAAGCGGAGAGGAGTAGTGGTGCTGGTGGAAAAGCGGTGGAGAGAGAAGAAAGAGAGAGTCGGGTATATAGGACGGGTTCAGGTATTGAGGTTAACAATTTTAATGAAAGCTTTAATGATGCAGAATTTGCAGTCTGGGAAAAGATTGGAATTGATGTTAGACTAAGTTAAGGAATTGGTAAGTCTTTTACCTTTATTATTATTATTTTTTTTTTGGCCATTCATTTACGGGAGGAATATTATTTTTGTTATGATCTTTGATCCAATCCTGAATCTGTCTCTGTCGGACTCTAGCCTTAGGCTCAACAAGTTTTTTTGTTTCTTTTTCTTATTCAACTTTGACTTGACTCATAAAAATCATAGAAAATATTAGGAGTAGCATCTTAAAGCCCACGACATTAGTAAAAGTTTATTTGGATCATTGGTGTAAAAAGTGTATATGCTATTTAAAATAAATGTATATGTTTATTTTTTTGGTAATATCATTCATCATCTTCTTAATTTCGTAGATCATTAGGTCCATTACTCATGGATGACATGAAGTTTTTGTTTTCCTTTTCTTTGAGGATATTAATGTCCAAAAATAAGTCGATGACCAAGTTGCGTCAAGAGCCATACATTCAAGACTGATCTTGCAATATTCCTTTATCTTATTGGAAATTTAATCAGTGGGAAAATATTAATTTTATGAAATGCGATTGATGAATCAAGTGAGAAAATGTAAAAATAAAGATAAAATTAATTTTGAATTATCAAATTTATAACTGTATCATCATTCATTTAACCAAGCAGATTAATACATTATTACAAACATCTCAGTTACAATCAGCAAATTACAGACAAACCACATTTTATTCCCAAGCCTCAGCATGATCTCTTGTCAATTTATAGGATTGATCAAAAATTCCTTGAAATAGTAACCTTCAAACCGTGTTTCATATGAAGCACAACGGAGTTACATGGAGCTATAGCATGGCTTTTTACAACTTGAATACGGAAACTGCTTATAATGGAGGCTGCAACTATTTTCATTTGAACGAAAGACATCTCCTTCCCTAAATAGCTCCTTGGCTCTGCATTAAATGCTGTAAATTTGAAAGAGGGTTCATGTTTTATTTGTCCTTGTTCGGGAATCCACCGTTTTGGCTTAAACTCTAGACAATCTCCGCCCCCCTCCCAAACCAGGGGCGGAGTCAGGATATCAGTTCAGTGTGGGCAAAAAAAATTCAATGCCGAAAGTCAAGGTTTTGGTCATGAATTTAATGACGATAAAAAAATAAAACAATAGTACGACACACTAAAAACGACATAATTTATAACAAATACTGGAAGCAACTCACAAAATTCAGTGTAATTCACAATTTTACATAATCAATTTACAATGCATTTCACAAATTTCACATAATTAATTCACAGTGCAATTCACAATTTCACAGGCCAATATATACTATTTTCAAAATCCAGTAAGGCAGGAACAGAGTAAGCAACTCACAATCGCAGACTGCTAGAGGCTAAGGCAACAATGAACTGGAAGTGCGTCTTTCTCACAGTTATGTAGAAAAAACAATTGAAGAGCAACTGTAGGAAGTGCCACTTCGAGCAATCGAAGAGCAAAGTCGAGAGCAATAAAGTTAAAAAAAATAAAAAATACTGGAGATAGAAGTACAAAAAGTGCTAAAGATTGTGGACAAGAGCGGTAATTTAGCTCTTATTAATTGATAAATAAATAATATTTTTTACGTCAAAAATTTTTTTTTATGAGTTAAAAAATCAAAGAATAAAAAATAGTAACCCGTCCAATTTGAAAACAAAATAATAACATTACCATCTTCTGCTTGGCAACTCTATCCTGGTGGATTAATTATTCAAAAACCCAGATCTAGAACAATGAGTGAATCCCAGCAACATTTGGTAGATTTGCAGGAAAATGGAGGTTTCGGGTCAGATCCCAACTCGTGGTTATCCGGCGCCGACAACCACTCGTCTATCAGCCGAACTTTTTCTTCTCGTTCCATTGCATTCGCTGCTGCCACTGGCGATGTTGACCGCGTTCTCTTCAACGATCTCGTTAAGATTGTCCCTCTCGTTCAGTTTGACCAGTGGACTTAGGAGGAAGAGGTTGAGTGACTTGAGTCGGAGATGTGCACGGCTGAGTGACGTGCGGAAAGCGAAGTGACGAGTGCTACCGGTTGAAATTGAATGAATCAAGGTGCAATTGCCAATTAATTCAATTGAATGGTCATGGAATTGTAGACGGGTCATGGGGTTTGATTGGGCTAACGGGTTATTGGGCTAGTGGGCTTTTCTGGACTGGACAGGGAAATGAAATGAAACTCTTAAAAAAAAAAGGAAAAAAAAAGTTTGGGCCTGGGGTTGGGCCCAAAAGTTCAATGCGGGCATGTGCCCACACTGGACTTCATTGGGCTCCGCCCCTGCCCCCACCACCACCAATATGGATTTCGTTCTTCCTATTGAATAGAAGGATAAAACAGTTTTTGTATTCGGCTAGATCTTATGTCCACTGGGAAGAATAGTTGGCTTTATTGGAGCTTTGTACTGTAAAGCCACTGGTGGAAATAGGCGTAATGCTTCACATAGTCCACCATGTAGATAAACAAGTTTCTTTAGCTCGTCTTTGTTGGAAAATTTCCATTTTCTTGTTTCACCAACTTGTAAATTTGTCATGATTTCTTCTCGAATCTTGTTTTCTTCGATCGGATTTGTTGCTAGAAGCCAAAAAAACCATGTAAGAGCTGCACTTACGGTGTCTTTACCAGAAGAGATTAAATTCAGCACGGTGTCTTTCCATACATATTCTGTTGAATATTTGTTCAAAATCAATGGAATGATAATGGACTAATTGTTGGGCTCAATTATGGAATT